GATGACGCTTAACAGCAGCAGCCTATGCTTTTACATCTGCCTCATTCTATTAGATTAGAAATTCCTTGAGTATACTAGGTTTTATTAATTTTTGTATTGCTAGTACTCAATACATTACTTGTACTAGATACAATTCCAGATAGTGTGTCTTCTTCATTTTATGGATGAAAGAAAGTGGTTCAAAGGATGTGCATTATGTACCCAGAGTAACAGACTTAATGAAGCATGTGGGTCTTAAATAAAAGCCAATTTTGGTATTGTTTTGAGTAACTATGATACATCTCATTATTAAACTTTATTAAATTAATAAATTCCAGCAACAATTCTGTTCTTAGCCAGTGGACTAGATCCCCCTTCGGGTGTCTCAGTTCTCATATAGAAGTCTAAGAACTCATATATGCATGTTCTGTAGGTTGGGTTAATAATATTTATGTATGTATATATATGGATGTCACCATATTTTTTTGAATGCACGTAGGTATTTTGTGATTAATTCGATGGAGACTTATTTTATTGAAGTTGACATTCTGATTGAGAAGAAAATGATGTAATATGAGGGCCTTATGGTACAGAAGATTTAGATTAAAGCTTTGTCTAATTTCTAGAGAATCAAAAAGGTACAAGAAAGTGTTTTGTTTGGGTTTTTTTAAAGCAATTAAATTCAGTTTAGATGGAATTGCTGAAATAAAACTTAATTAAAAATTGTTATTTATTTTAGTACAGTGACTTTAAATACATTTCTAGCTGCCATCATAATGTTTGATTCTTAGTGAGAAATAATTTTTTAGCTTAATGATTGCTGTCAGCATTGTGGTTTTTTCTTTGTCTTTAAGTGTTTATTGTGAATTAAGGAGCTCTGGTAGCGTAGTGGTTACGAATCGGGCTGCTAATCTCATGGTCAGCAGTTTGAAACTACCAGCTGTTCGCGGGAGAAAGATGAGGCTTTCTTCTCCTGTAAAGATTTACAGCCTCGGAAACCCTGTGCAGGGATGTTGAGTCGGAACTGACTCCACTGCACATAACAATAACAACGACATGTGATAATTTACATGGAAGAACACCAGCTTCACATTCATTCTATCGTATTTTGTTTCATTGCAATGATTACAGTCCCCACTATGCATCATCAAACAACCAAAGGGTACACCCCGCAAACCTGTCCCCTGCCTTCAGCACACAGCCCCTTTCCCTGCCTGATTCCAGAGTCCTGTACTCTACTCTTCTCTTCTCACTTCATGGTCCCAGGGATCTCCGCTCCTGGACTGCAAAATCAACCACTCCCTCCTTTTGTTACAAAACATCTACCTTTACATTTCCGACCCTCAAAGTCAGCCCTGATAGTAATTATTCACTATTGTACCGCAAGAGTCCTATCCCCATCTCCTTTCATCAGCCCCGTCCAGACAGATTGGATACCACTCAGTGGACATTTTACCTTCCTCTGCCCCCTCTGGATCTAGGCTCCCTCTTGAAAGCTTATAAGCCAATCACTTTGTAGCACCCCCATTTTGAGTAGCCAATGTCTAAGTTGCCCATTCCTGTCTACCATGTGTACTGAGGGTTGGGAATGATCCTCGCTGTAAAGATTTGTTCCCTCTTTTGAGCTACTACATCCATAAGTACAGGTCAAGTTCATCAAATTGCAGCAGATTACTCTTTTTTTCCTCTTCTTTCTTCTAGTTGCGTTCTGATCATCCAGCCATTGAAGCCAGGTCAAGTGTGTACTATCTACAAGTATGGGTGTTCTTGTGCATCTCCCCTCATTTCATATGAACTGGACACTTCACTCTCCGCTCTAGTCCTCTGTGGCCATGTCACTGTCGGGCCCAGGAGTCCCCAGGTTCAACATTGTGTTTTATAATCTGCTTTTATTGTTTATTGGTAGTCATCCTGGGTTCAAGGGCATAGCTTACATAGTAATGGTTTAAAATGTGTGCTATTTTAATTAGTTTGTTCAGCTACTAGATAAATAAGAATTTTGTGATTTCATTCATTCCTTTGGCAAGTATTTATTCAATTCCTGCCTTTAACCAGGCCTTCTGCTAGGCCTGGAAAATAATTGCTGTGAGTGAGCAAAGCAGACAAGTCTGTGATCCTGTTGGTGCTTGCTAAGTTTTGTTATTATTATTTTTAAGTGCCTTCGATTCAGTTTCATAGAGAGATATATACAGGGCTTCAAAAAGTTCATGGAAAAATTCCATTATCTTTTTTTTCTTTTTTAATGTTTTATTGTGAATTATATGATAGTTTACATGGGAGAATTTTAGTTTTGCATTCATTCCATCGTATATCATCTCATTGCCATGGTTCCAATCCCCTCCATGCATCCTCAACCACCCAAAGGGTATATCCCAGAAACCTGCCCCTTACACTTCCCCCTCATCCCCCCAGTTTTCGGCTCACAGTCCCTTTCCCTCTCTGGGTCCAAAGTCCCTAGTCGCTTCATCACTCCACGTCATCATCTCCATTATCTTTTTTTTTTTTTTTTTAAGGTTTTTATTGTGGATTGAGTGAAAGTTTTCAGGGCACATCATCGGTTTCACATTCAAACATTCATATACCTTGTTTCATTACATTGATTATAATCCCCTCCACATACCATCAGTTAACAGAGTTTCTCTATATCCTCTTTAGCTTTTTTGGGTGGGGGAAACTTTGCCTTTTTGGAATTTACAGTCTCGGCTTTTAGGGAAGGTTTTTACATTTATCTGTGGGTATCCAGGGCTCATGTATGGAATTACTAACCAGCATAACTGAATAATAAGAAAAGGGACATTTTGCTATGTCTGCTAGGTGGCTAAAGTCTGATCCTCAGAGCCTATGGTTTGGACGGTCAGCAACGCTTGGGCCCACGGGGACTTGAACGCCTGACCGGGTCTGCACTGTTTGCATCAGATTCCCCCTTATTTATTATTTGTTTAAGGGACGCTGCCTGTCTTAGGCGGTCAGTGTGAATTCCTCAGTCTTACCCGTCATCGAAACTCATTGCAGCATGGCAATGGCTCTGTCTTAGGTTGCCGAGGTTCCACGTGATCCTTGCCCGTCTCTGGCCACACGTCCACCATAAACAGACACCATCCGAAGAAGGCAGGGAGGAAGGAGACCAGCTGGGGAACCCACACACAAGATGTTGCCAGACCTCCACCTGCTCTAAGACGACCAAGCAGGATCACTATGCTGGGGTTCAACCAAGTTCACAGGGGAACTTAATCTCTGGCCGAGGTAGCAAATTAGTAGCCACACAGTTCTCAACTTGAGAATTACTTATATCAGAAGTTTGAGCATGTAGCTGATGACATCTCCATTATCTTTTAACTCAGTTTTTCCACAGTTTTCTTAAAGCCCTTGGTACAATATAATGAATTTCCAAATAGATACTTATAATGCTAGATGGGAGTAAGTGCTTTAAAAAAAAAAAGAAGAGGGAATGAGAAGTAATATTTTCAATTTCAGAAAGAGTTGTCTGAAAAGGTCTCTCTAAATAGACATTTGAGCAGAAACTTAAATGAAGTGGAGGAACTAGCCCTTCAAGACAGATGGATCAGCAAATGCACAATCTTTGAGGGAGATGTGTGCTTGGCCTGTGCAGGGAATTGCTAAGGAGGTCAGTGTGTCTGAAGCTGTTATTCAAGGATAGAATGGTAGGAGATAAAGTTGAGAAAGAGTCAGAGATGATGTTGTTAAGTGCCTTAGAATCAGTTCTTACTCATAATGCCCCTGTATAGGGTTTCTGAGGAGCAGCTGGGGGATTTGAACTGCTGACCTTGAGGTTTGTAGTCCAGTGCTTATCCTGCAATGCAACATTGGACTTCATAGCTCATATGTTGTTATTAAGTACTGTAGAGTTTGTTCTGACTCATAGCGACCCTGGATTGGGTTTCCAAGGAGTCGAAAGGACCTTGCAGTTATCAGTCCATTGTTTATCCTACAGTGCCTTACACAACTAGACTCATAAAGGATCCCAAATTTCATTCTAAGTATAAAATAAGCCTTTGCATGGTTATGTGACTTAAGTTTAAAGGATGACTCTAACTGCTCTGTAAATAAATCTCCCAAGTGTAAGAAAGGAAGCAGGAAGACCAGTTTGGAGATGGTGATTACAGACCTCCAGATGAGAGATGATAGTGGACTAGTGATGGAGCTTATGAGTAGTAGTCAGATTTGAGGTACATTTTGAAGATAGAATCAACAGGGGGAAAAATGCCATCAAGGCTAACTCCAGGGTTAATAATTAAACACTGACTTGAAAGATAGATGCAATGGCTATCTCTGAGTTAAAACCTCAGCTAAATACATTCTGTAAACTTCGTCTCAACTCATAGGGACCAATAAGAAATAGTACAATTGCCCATAAGGTTTCCAGGGCTATAAATCGTATTATTTTTCTCTTGCAAAGTGGCTGATGGGCATGAACCACTGACCTTTCAGTTAACAACCAAGCAATTAAACACTGCTTCACCATGGCTTCTTGTATAGTGTTATTGTTGTTGGTAAGTGCCATGGTTACCAACATAGCTACCATGTTTGTAGTTTTCAAGGAGCAGCTGCTGGGTTTGAACTGCCAACCTTGGGGATAGCATTCAGTGCTTATCCTTCAGTGCCACACCAGAATTCCATAGCGTTGTTGTTGTTGTTGTTAAGTGCCGTCGAGTCGATTCCGACCCATAGCAACCCTGTATAGGGTTTCCGAGGAGCAGCTGGTGAGCTTGAACTGCTGACCTTGCAGTTCAAATGGCTTTGCAGTCTGGCGCATTAACCCACACTGCCACACCAGGACTACATAGTGTTATTGGGAGTTTTAATTTGTTTCTTTCTTATCAATATTTCCCATTTTAAGAATACTGAATCTATAATACTTCTGTAATAAAAATGCATATCAGTTATTTCAAAATCAGAGTTAATAGTAATACTAAATGTAGTTCCCTTCTTGATATACTCTCCTACCCCTTTTGATTTTGGAAAACAATTTAAGTGACATACATTTTTTGATTTGTCTTTTTGCTTCTAGTGATCAGCCTTTGTGCTTTTTTCATATTTGAAGATGGTGAAGCTAGATATTCATACTCTGGCTCATCACCTCAAGCAGGAACGCTTATATGTAAACTCTGAGAAACAGCTCATTCAGAGACTCAATGCAGATGTACTTAAGACAGCTGAAAAGTTGTATCGTACAGCATGGATTGCTAAGCAACAGAGAATTAATTTGGATCGGCTAATCATAACCAGGTAAAGAAAAGATTTTGAGGTGCTACATTTTGTTAACCACTTTAATTCTGTGCTAACTGCTAACTAAAAATAAATGAACGTATTTTCAACAAACTGGTTAGAATAGTTTAAATCAGCATTCAGATGAGCTTTTGCTTATAATGCAGATAGTTTGTTTTTAACATCAGCACTGTTAGAATTATAATTTAAGCATTAACATTTTATCCTATATGAATCGATTTTGTATCTTTGGACATAATAATAGCACATTTTATTGTAGAGAGTACATTATTTTGTTATCTTCTTATAATATTTCATAGATAATGTTTTAATGTATTGATATATATCTATTTGTCAGTTTTAGAAACCAAGCATTTCACTGTTTAATACTTCATTGTTCACATATAATACCTCATTGTTCCAAGAAGCAGTTTTTTTTTTAAATTAAAATGTTTTATTGTGAATTTTGTGATAGTTTACATGGGAGAACATTAGCTTTACATTCATCCTATTGTATATTGTTACATTGCCATGGTTACAATTCCCTCCATGTATCATCAACCAACCAGATGGTATACCCTGCAAGCCTGCCTCCTGGTCATCAGCACTGGCCCTCTCCCTCTCTGGATCTAGAGTTCCCAGCCACTCCATCTCTCCACGTCATTGTCTCTGCCTCCATCTCTGGCGTCACTGTTTCTCTGGGTAGGGTCCCGCATTCCGCTCTTCTCCCTTGATGGTCCCAGGGCCCTCCGCTCCTGGACTGCAATGTCAGCCACTCCCCTCCTTTTGTCTCAAAATGTCTACCTTTACATTTCCAGCCCTCACAGTCAGTCCTGATAGTAATTATTCACTATTGTACGACATGAGTGCTATCCACATCTCCATTCATCAGTCCCACTCCGACAAATTGTATACTACTCAGTGGAGATCCAAGAAGCAGTTTTTAACTGTGAGAATAGCAGTGCTAAGATAAAATGTTGAGAAAAGAATCCAGACACAAAAGAATACATACCGTATGATTTCATTTATGTGACATTAAAAAAATAGGCAGGATTTAGCTTTGAAGAAAAAAAATCAGAATAATGATAATTTCTTGGGAGGGTGAAATAGAACGGGAAGGGCACAAGGGAGCATTTTGGGTGATTAAAATGTTGTGTGTCAATATAGACATCCATGTGAATGGTAGTTACATGGGTGTTGCATACATATGTAAAAATTATGTATGCTGAAGCTGACCACTTCAGATTTGTATACTTTACTGTATTTTTACCTCAATAAAATAATTATATTTTAAAAAAGAGTGCTTTTATGAACATTGTTAAAGTTATATTGTATTTTTCTCCTTCTTTGGACTTTTTTTTTTTTTTTTTTCCAGAAGTAGAAAATCTGAGTTGAAGGATTATAATTTTACATCTATTACTTACTGGCAGGTTTCATTTAGATTAGTTTTTAGTACTTGAGTGCATATTTGTAACTTTTATGTGCCCATAAATAAGCAGTTTTTAACTATAGTCAATCATAAAGACTATATAGCTTTTTTAGGTTCTATAAATTGATACTTTTATTGAAGCTGATTTAATGTAAGGAATTTTCCTCCTTTATGCTATTTGCTTTTGTTTTTCTTTATACATTCAGATGCTGTTGTAAAAATTTTAGCAATTCAGGGTGATCTCATTGCTGGGACTATAATCAACCCACATTTTCATGTTTTTATGTAGTGTTATTAGTAATATTATTATTTTACATTCTTAAAGCTTGTTTGCTTATTTATTATATTGCTCTAGTGCTGAAGCTTCCCCTGCAGAATGTTGCCAACATGCCAAGATTTTGGAAGATACACAGTTTGTTGATGGATATAAGCAATTGGGATTTCAGGAGACTGCTTATGGAGAATTCTTGAGTCGATTAAGAGAAAATCCTCGTCTGATTGCCTCCTCTTTGGTTGCAGGAGAGAAACTTAATCAGGAGAACACACAAAGTGTTATTTACACAGTCTTTACCTCCCTCTATGGCAACTGTATTATGCAAGAAGATGAAAACTACCTCCTTCAGGTTTTGCGATACTTGATTGAATTTGAACTTAAAGAAAGTGACAACCCTAGGCGGCTTTTAAGGAGAGGAACTTGTGCCTTCAGCATCTTATTTAAACTTTTTTCTGAAGGACTGTTTTCTGCCAAACTTTTCCTCACAGCTACATTACATGAGCCAATTATGCAACTGCTGGTTGAAGATGAAGATCACCTGGAAACAGATCCAAACAAGTTAATTGAGAGATTCTCTCCATCTCAGCAGGAAAAACTCTTTGGAGAAAAAGGCTCAGATAGATTCAGGCAAAAGGTTCAAGAGATGGTGGATTCCAATGAGGCCAAATTAGTGGCTTTAGTGAACAAATTTATTGGTTATCTCAAGCAGAACACATACTGCTTTCCACATAGTTTGAGGTGGATTGTGTCACAGATGTACAAAACCCTCTCCTGTGTAGACCGACTAGAAGTTGGGGAAGTCAGGGCAATGTGTACCGATCTCCTCCTGGCCTGCTTCATTTGTCCTGCAGTTGTCAATCCAGAACAGTATGGAATAATTTCTGATGCTCCTATTAATGAGGTGGCAAGATTCAATCTGATGCAGGTATGCTGTTGCTATTATTATTAATGTGACATTCAGTTTAATATCAGGAGATTGGGCAGGGGAGTTTGACATAATATATGATAATGATCTTCATATATTCCTATCATTCATTTTCCTCAAAGTATTCTAAATATTTGCTGCTTAAAAATAAAAGTAAACATCCTGAGATTTTATAGTGTAGCTATAGAACATTTTATTTTAGTTTTTAAACGGAATTGTTACATACTTGACTGCACAGTTGAGTACATTTTCTAGAATAAGTGCATACTCATTTTTCCATAATTTCAAACTCCAGAATGATTTAAAACTGAGAATGCCCTGTGTATCTCATTTGATATCAAAGCCTTACCTGAACTGACATGAAATTATTTATAATTGCTAGTTATTCTATTTACGTGCATGATTATTCATGTATTACCACAGAGATGTTTGATTATAGGGTGCCACCCACTACCCTACTGCCTACTGGACAGATTGCATATAAATTATGTTTCTGAAGTCTCTAAATTCTGAAATCTGAAACATTTTTGTACCTGAGAGTTTCAGGAAGCTATTTAGATTTCTATTAGAAATTATTTTAAACTCATCTGAACTATTGTTTCATGTTGTTATTTCTTAATCCTCTTATTCCCCAGAAAAAACTGTAAGGAAAAAACAGGGTTTATTCAGAAGAGACTATATCTTTGAATGATACATATTTTTTGAAATAATAAGTGTTTTTCCATGATCCATTTTATCTCCTTATGGTTGTTTAGCAGTTAACTATATAGAACTTCCTGAAGTAAGCATTTAAATTTTTTATCATCTGTGAAACAATTTATTATGATGGTGTATTTATAGTTTTTATTTTGTCATTCCAGTGGAGACTGAATCATATATTTCCATACTGAGTAAAAAGAGGAATTATCCCAGATATTAAGATGTTAATTTTCAGCAAACATTTAAAGAGAGTGGTGGTGGTTGTGTGCCACAGTCGGTTTTGACTGCTTTTATTATTTTTAGATTAAGAGTTTTAGGTGTTGTGTGGAGTCAGTTTTGACTCATAATGACTCTGTATAGGGTTTCTGAGGCTATAAATTTTTATGGGAGCAAAAAGCCTCATTTTTCTCCCGTGGAATGGCGCTTAGTTTCGAATTCCTAACCTTAAGGCTAGCAGCCCAACTCATAACCACTACGCTACCAGAGCTCCTTTAAAGAGAATAGATTAACAGTATACTTTTTTTTTTTTTAATCTTTTATTGTGAATTATGTGATAGTTTACATGGGAGAACATTAGTTGTACATTCATTCTATCGTATATCGTCTCATTGCCATGGTTACAATCCCCTCCATGCAGTCCTTCCCCCGTACCCTCCAGGTCTTCAGTACACAGTCGCTCTCCCTCTCTGGATCTAAAGTCTCCAGCTGCTCCATCGCTCCACGTCTTCATCTATGCCTCCATTTCAGGCATCAGTGCTTCTCTGGGTAGGGTCCCGCTCTCTGCTCTTCTCCCTTGATGGTCCTAGGGACCTCTGCTCCTAGACTGAAAAGTTAATCACTCCCCTCCTTGCTATAAAACATCTACCTTTACATTTCCGACCCTCACAAACAGTCCTGATGACAATTATTCACTATTGTATCACAAGAGACCCGTCTGTATTTCATTGCATCAGCTCCACCTAGTCAGATTGAATACTACTCTCTGGAGATTCTACCTTCCTCCAGGCCCTCTGGATCTAGGTTCCCTCTTGAAAGCTTGTAAGCCAGTCACTTCTTGCCTTTGTAGCCCCCCATTCCCCATTTTGGGTAGCCAATGTCCAAGTTGCCCATCCCTGTCTACTCTGTGTGTGGAGGGGGTGGGAATGATTCTTGCTGTAAGGACTTGTTCCCTCATTTGAGCTACTGCTCCCGTAGGTGTAGGTCAAGTTCATCAAATTGTATGAGAATACTTTTTTTTTTTTTCCCTCTTCTTTTTACTTCTGGTTGAGCTCTGATAATCCAGGATATCCAGGATATCCAGGATAAGTGGGTATTATCTGCAAGTGTGGGTGTTCTTATGCATATGCCTTCTCTTCTTATCAGCTGGACGCTTCACTCTCCATTCTAGTCCTCTGTGGCTATGTCACTGACTCTGGGCCCTAGAGTCCCCAGGTCTTGCCACACTGCTGGCTAACCAGGTCTTCACCTGGGTTCACAGAAGTCTATTGAACGTTGTAGGGCTTAGCTCACTGCTTCATTGCTGTTTTTCCCTCACTTCCCCTTATCAGTTTTGAGCGTGGTCACCAATCACAGCGTGTATTCCCGTTGAGTTTTAGTCTTGGAAGGGGGTTTGCACTGAAGGGACCAAACTACTTGCCTTGATGTTTCCTGGGCAAGCATGTTGCTTGTTCTTGTAGTAACAGTCGGTCTGCCTATGTTGTTTTATATTTTTCCTGTAGGTCTTTCTTTCAAGAAGTATCTTATGTTCTTCTAGCCACTCCAGGTTGGTCTGCTTGTCCTTTCAAGTAGGAATTTCCCATCTCTGGAGATCTGGATGTGGTTCAGGCTTCCACCTATAGTCTTATGTATTGCAGAGGCTCCGCAGGAAGCCTCCTTCACTGGGCATGTTGTAGGCCCATTTTAGGTATTCCATAACAGTATACTTTTGTCAGTAAAGAAATTGCGCTAATGGTTAGTATTGACTTTACTGAATAATTTGCATTCTGTAGGAATTGTTTACTTTTAAATGTAGTGAAAAAAAAATCTACCTTGAGTACTTTATAAAATATAGGGGAAAATAATAATTAGCTTGGAATAGTTTGAGTGAGTTAGCTCTTTCAAATGAATAAAAAATTTGTAAACACATGAAAAAATAATATTAAAAACATTAAGCGTAAAAAAACCCAAAAACATTAAGCATAAAGAAAGTGACAACCCCAGGCAGCTTTTGAGAAGAATAAAAGTAAAAGTAAAATATTGTTTACTTTCTAATACTGATACAGTATGTTTTAAAGGGAAATTAAAGCAAAAAAATTAAAGCAATCCAGTTGATTGCGCTTAACCCATAGCTGCCTTGTATAGGGTTTCCGAGGAGCAGCTGGTAAGCTTGAACCACTGACCGTGTGACTCAAAACGGCTTTGCTGTCCAACGCTTTAACCACAGCACCATACCAGGACTTGTTAGGTAGTGTGAATATTATTGTGAAAGAGATTTTTAGAATAGAATGGAAATTTGTAAGTGTTAATAACCTGTTACCCTACTACTGTTTTGGCTTGTAGGTTGGACGCCTCTTGCAGCAGTTAGCAATGACTGGTTCTGAAGAGGGAGACCCCAGGACAAAAAGCAGCCTTGGAAAATTTGACAAAGTAAGAATGAATATTATGCCATTGAAATGCTATTTATAGAAAACTCTACCAAAGTCTCACTGTACTTACTCTCTTTATTAAATCTTACTTTTAGGTGATTTACTAATTAGAGTTCCCCTCAGTTACCCTTTGTAAAGATGTAGCAAATAACTGTGTTGGATCAGCAACATTTAAAGGAAGAAGTCATGTAAGGTTACTAACTCTCATTTACAGAAGTACTATGGAGATTTCATTGTATTTGGAACCAAAGAGCTATTAAGAGTTTGATTTTAAAAGTTGTTTTAAAAGTTTGATTTTAAAACGGTATCAGTTATTACTGAATCAAATCTAGTTATATGAACCAGTATTAATTGTATAATTTTGAGTGTATTTCATAATTTAACATGTATGACATTCTTCAGTTAGTTTAATGCATTCAACCTAGTTTAAAATTCGAAGGCTATACAGTGAAGTTTTCCTTTCATCTCTAGCCTTCACTGCTTCCTCAAAAGGTTCTTGATGGCATCAGTATTTTATGTATCCTTCAGACTCTAAGTGAATTCCTACATATATTCTCCCACTCATCCCAGCCATCTCTTTCACAAATGACAGGGTTGTGTGTACATTGTTCTACATTGTGTTTATTTTACTGACTAGGATACTTGGAGATTGTTCTATGTCAGTACGTACATAAAAGATTTACATTATTTTTTCTATTTTTTGCTTATCCACCTTAATGAAAATTTTGTTACTTTTTTTTTTTTTAAGGTTTTTATTGTGGATTGAGTGAAAGTTTACATGGCGTATCATCAGTTTTACATTCAACAAATCAAATTACATTGAGTATAATCCCCTCCATGTACTATCAGTTAACAGTATTTCTCTCTATCCACTTTAGCTTTTTAAAAAAACAAACAAACAAAAAAAAACCACTCAGGCATATATAATTTACATCTCCAAAGGGCACATTCTGCAAGTCAGCTCCTGGCCACCAGCTCTTAGTCCTTCTCTTCTTAGTTCATCAATCTAGAGTCCTCTCAACCGTTCTCCTTCTCCATGCCCCCATCTCTGCCTCCATCTCTAGCACTGCTGCTTCTCTGGATAAGGTCCCGCATTCTGCTTGTGCGTTCCTCTCTTGATGGTCCTAGGGTCCTCTGTTTCTGGACTGTAAGATTAACTACTCCGCTTTTTTTGTTACAAAACTTTTACCTTTACTATTGTGACAGTCGTGATTAGTCATGATAACAATTGTTTACTATTGAATCTTACGAATCTTATCCCCATCTCTTTTTACCAGACCCATCTAGACAAGATGACAGCTATTCAGTGGGGACTCTTTCTTTGCCCCCATACCCTTAAACTAAAGTCCCTCTTGAAACCTTGTACGCCAGTCACTTTGTGCCTTTATTGCCCCCTCGTTTTAGGTAGCCAATGTCTTAAGTTGCCCGTCCCTATCTACCCTGTGCACAGAGCGGATAGCATTGATACTTGATGTGAAGACTCTTTCCCTCTCTGTTGGTATTTAGAGTTAACTACCGCTCTGAGTATAGGTCAGGTTCATCATTAAGATGTATCTTCTGTCACTGTAGCTTTTCCAGTCTGCTTGTCCTTTCTAGTGGGAATGTCTCACCTCACAAGGTTATGCATGGGACTCAGGATTCCATCTAAGGTCCTATACCCTGTAAAGGCTTTGCATGAGGCCTATTTCACTGGGCAAGTTGTAGAACCCCTTTTAGGTATTCCAATCAGTTATTGGCTGAAGGCTGGCTTACAGGTTTTCTCTAACCATGTTTCCCAACATTCCTTTCTGTCCCACTCAAGTGTCTATTTTACAATAGTAGGCAAGGGAAACTAATATTCATAAGGCAGTCAAGGATTTTAGTATTATTTCCCCTCTTCAAGCTATACCTAGATCCCTGTATCCCAGAATCCTGTTGTTTCAAGGTTGAGTATCCATCACTATTTACCTCTGTCCCACTAGGCCATGCAAACTTGTTTCAGTGTTCCCCTATCTATCTTGTTGTTATGCTTCCTCTCCCCTTCTTGTATTGCCCTCCCAAACACCCAAAGTAAACCCCCCACCCCAACCCCATTCTGGTTACCGGATATTCCATTATTTCTTTCCTCCATTTAATATAGTCTATTTTATCCAGTAAACCTACCTGACCTTCCCACCACCTGGATCTCTGTTCCTCTGTGTTTACCTTCTTTCACATTTTAATTGTTTTGATCATAGACTGATCTCCCAGATCCTCTGTTCTTATAATTTTATTCTGTTCTTGACTCTTCCATTTGTCGACTGAGTTCAGGTGGATGCTGTCACGTACGTCATTCTGTAGTTGTTGTCTGTTCTTGTTGGTTCTCAGTCCACAGAACTTCCTTTAGGCTGTTTTTCATAGCTGGGTTGGCTTTGGCAAAATCCCTTAGCTTCTATTTATCCTGGAATGTTTTGATTACACCATCGTATTTGATTGACAGCTTTGCTGGGTAGAGGATTTCTTGGTGGCAATTTTTTTCTTTCAGGGTTATCTATGTCTCCCCATTGCCTTCTTGCCTGCATGGTTTCTGTTGAGAAATCCAAGCTTAATCTGATTTGCTTGACTTTGTATGTTATATTTCTCTTTTCCCTAGCTGCTTTCAAGGTCCTGTCCTTATCTTTGATTTTGGAGAACTTGAGTATTATGTCTTGCTGATTGTCTTTTAGGGTCTATCCATCCTGGGGTTTGTTGAGCTTCTTGAATGCTTATCTTTTCATTTTTCATGATGTTAGGAAAATTTTCTTGTGTGATTGTTCCTGTTCTGGAATGCCAGTAATTCTTATGTTATTCCTCTTTATGTTATCCAACATGAATCTTATGCCTTCTTCTGAATTTTTTTATCCTTTTTTGTGTTTTTTCTTCTATCTTAGTAATGTTGAGAGATTTATCTTCTAGCTCACTAGTTCTGGCTTCTATCTCTTCAATTCTACTCCTTTGCCCTTTCAGTGTATTATCCATTTCTGATATTCTATTATTAATCATTTGGACCTCTGTAGGTTTTGAATTGTTTCCAGTACTGTATTTATCTTATTTGATTGTTTCTGTAACGCTTTCCTAACTTCTTCATTATTTTTCTCAACTCCATTGTATACTGTTTTGATACCTTTTATAATCATTTTTCTGAATTCCTTCTCAGGCATTTCCAAAGCCTGCCCATTTTCCAGTATGGAGTGTAGGTCTACTTCCAGCTCATTTGCCTCAGTCACTTTATCTCGTTTTTGGACATGTGCAGATATGGTCATCTGCTTATTTTGGGGGGGCATATTCAGGGGTTATCTGTGGCCTTAATACTTAGATGGATATGTATATTGGTGTTTTTTATGCTTTCTGATTGCCTCCATGTAGATGTGATTAGCAAATGGGCTTCCCTTTTCACTCTTCTTCTTGAGAAATTTCAAGATGCCACTGTTGGTCGTTTTGACGTAACTTAGGATTTAATTTTTTGGCCTATTTCCTCTTTGCCCGCCCGGCCCCACCCCAAAACCCCCGTCAAGCCCTTTTTGCTAGTTAGAAACAATTCAGGGCCGGCTGTGGTCATTTGGTTTTAATTGGAAACTGTCTCTTTAAATTTGGAGGCGATCTGTGTGCATGTGTAGTAGAACCCTCTGAGGGTGGGGCTGAGGTGTCCACAATCTCAGCCACCCATATAGTCACCAGAATGGCGGTGCTCAGACAGCAAGGGACCAATGAACAGATACCAGAAGAAAACAATGTCCACATCTTCATCTCCGTGGTTCTGCCAGACGTCTGTGGCCGCTCCGATCCTTCCCCCACTTGGTCTCACCCACGATGGCAGCTCCTGAAGCAGCTGAGCGTTCTGAACTAGAAAGCAATGGCTTTTCTGCCACAAATTCCCCCAGCTGTGAGCCTTCTAACCTTCTAAATATTCCTTTATATGTGGTTCAGAGTTCTGGTACCATCCCCTGAGCCTGCTGGTTGTGTATTCTGTGTTCTTGCTGACAGAGCTCCTTACTGCACTTCCACCTGATCCGCCATCATGTTTGTTCTCCCCCATTCTTTTAAAAGGGAAGTATTTCACTATAATCTTGTCCTTTTTCAACAGAGTTGTGTTGCTGCTTTTCTTGATGTTGTCATTGGAGGCCGTGCAGTGGAGACCCCTCCAATGTCTTCTGTTAATCTTCTGGAAGGACTGAGCAGAACTGTGGTTTATATAACTTATAGTCAACTTATTACACTGGTAATGTCTTTGTTATTTACTAGGTCTTCCTCAGAGTTAGCTAAGCGTGGGTGGAGTCATAAATGAGTATGTTGTATGAGATTGGTAGAGAATATATATAAATCATGTTGAAATTGATTTTGCTAGCTAATATTCTTTCATTTTTGCTAGGTAAATTTTATGAAGAATGTAATGTCTGGAGATCAACTGAGAGAAGATAGAATGGCTCTTGACAATTTATTGGCAAACCTACCCCAGGCCAAGCCAGGAAAAAGCATCAGTTTGGAAATGACACCCTATAGTACTCCTCAGCTGTCTCCAGCAACCACTCCAGCAAATAAGAAGAATCGATTGCCTATAGGTAAAGAAAATTTCTCATGTTGGAACTTTCTCTTAAATTTAATGTTTATTAGGCTTTTGTATTGTTTATTGTTTTAGAATATAGTTTTAAATAATTTGGAAATTTTTCTCTTTGACTTTCCAGTGGTGATTCAGTTTTTTAAAATTCAACCATATTAAGGTTTTTCAGTAGACTTTAGTTTTTATAAATAATTGAAATCATGCCACTTACATCATAATGTCCTTGAAAATTTTGAGATGTCATTCATTATAGTAATTTTTAGCATTCTATAGCTCTGTTTCCTAAAAATTCTATGTATGATGGTAGTCTTTTAAGGATCTCTGGTAGCGTAGTGGTTATGGATTGGGCTGCTAACCTCAAGGTCAGCAGTTTGAAATCACCAGCAGTTCTGCAGAGGAAATAAAAGGCTTTCTGTTCCCGTAAAGATTTACAGCCTTGGAAACCCTGTACAGGGTTGGTATGGGTCAGAACCGACTTGACAGCACTTAATAACAACAGCAATTATAATATTATACTATAAGTTACCATCAAGCAGCTCTGGTAGCGTAGTGGTTACGAATCGGTCAACAATTTGAAACTTCCAGCTGTTTTGCGGGAGAAAGATGAGGCTTTCTGCTTCCGTAAAGATTTACAGCCTCGGAAACCCTGTACAGGGTTGCTATGCGTTGGAACCGACTCCACGGCACATAACAACAACAACAACAACAAGTTACCATCAGTAAAGTGGGAAATAGTTACTATTTTTCTATTATTATTTTAATTATCAGTCTTTTATCAATTGGGCTATAATATCTTAATGCTATAAAATGAAGCAGAAAATTTATTTTATTTTGTCAAGTTTATTCATTTAAGATAATAGTTTCAATTAAATATTTCAAATATGAGTTGGGCTGCTAATCACAAGGTTGACAGTTTGTAAGATGAGGCTTTCTGCTCCTGTGAAAATTTACAGCTTTGGAAACCCTACATAGGATCACTGTGAGTTGTAACAGATTCCATGGTATACCACCACCACCACCGTCTGTTTGTAAGGTGCCCCAGTAGTGTAGTGGTTAGTAGTTGGAATCTACCAGTAACTCCACAGGAGAATGATGTGAGGCTTTCTATTCCTGTAAAGATCCTATATAGGGTCTCTATGGTCGGAACCGACTCGGTGGCACACAACAACCACCACCACCACCATTATCTATATATACACACACACACACACACACATACAAAATTAATTGAGCATATATTATATACTGCATACTGGGTAAGCATTTTATAAATGCTGTTTCATTTAATTCATGCAAAACTCCTATGAGAGTAAGTATAATTATCCTGCAGGTGAGGCATTATGTTAGATACTGGGAATGTAAAAATCATTAGTAGATATCCTTACTCTCAAGACTGTAGTCTAGTAGGGAAGAATAAGAGACCAGTAGCCTTCAGTGTGCTAAGTGTTCCAATTGAGGTAAGCATAGGACAGCTAACTTAGATGGCTGCTGGTGCTGGTATTAGGAGGATTCTGGAGTAGATAAAGCCTATATTTTCTTTGAAGGGTGAGTAGGAGTTAGACAAAGTAAACAAGACAGGGAAAGAGTGTTTAGGTCATGGGAGCCAGGAGTGTTATAGTGATGGTGTCTTAATGATAATTAGGAGCTCAGTAACTGGTGTGACGCTGTGGGTTAATGCACCAGACTGCAAAGCTGTTTGAACTGCAAGGTTGGTGGTTCAAGCTCAACAGCTGCTCCTCGAAAACCCTATACAGGGTTGCTATGGGTCAGAACTGACTCGACAGCACTTCACAACAACAGTTAATGAATGTAAATAGTTACTGTATTTTACTAATTTTGAAGAATGATTTTACTTTTCAGCTTCTATGAGTCTCTTTATTAGAAACTATCAGTTTCTTAAAAATAATTTACGTTACATTTATGTAGAATGATCACCATAGAAATGTGGTCTCATAGGACTATAAAAGTTTGGTTTTTATCATCCTAAAATGAGAATTTTCAGAATGAAAATTTGAAAAAAGAAAACTTTATGCTCATTGGTTTTAAATTATATCATATGAGAAAGTCACAGATAATATTTTATGTAATATTTGCAACCTGTTGACATTTAGAAATAAATGATTTTGGAATATCAGAGGTATTTCCCTCCCATTTTTTACTGCTATGTTATTCTTTAATTTTCTATTATCTAGAAATGTTATTAAATATGGATCTAATGGAAAGTAAATTTCATATATTTGCTCAGTATTATTTTGTATAGTTATTTGACCTGGTCATTGCATTTATTTATATTTTTTAAAATGTGTCCATTGTTCAAAGGGTTGATTTTCTTTCTGTTTAATGCTTTCGCAACCCAGGACAACAGTTAGCAGCCATCACTGCCTGGGAGTCCTCAGCCACCAATCTTACTGCTCATATTACTCTAGTAACCCCATTTGGTGGGTAATAGGTTGCTTTTCCTCTTCTTATCTAACTTTTATTTTAAAAATAGTTTATAATGTGCATGTTGCTGTTGCTTTATATAGATTTCTATGTAAAATTTTATTGCTTGTGTTTTTAGTCATGAAGTTTGTTACTTAAGATTCTTGTACCTGTTCATAAAATTGAATTTAAGTTAATAATTTAGTAGAGAATAGAGCCAGCACATAGATGTGAAAGGGTTTTAGATTTCAAAGTTGGCAAAGCTCTGAATACTAAAACTGAAAATGCTTAATAAATAGAATCATAGTATAGTTGCAGGAAGATGGTTGTTTGTATTTCTGATTATTTCTTTCTTGTTTTGAAGTAGGTCAGGTTTTGCTCAAAGTACAGTTGAAACACTTGTTACTATAGATTATTTTTGCTGTTTATACTGCTAATCTGTGCTGGAAGAATTTCTGTTTCACATTCTGGTTGTATTGAATTTTATTGCGTTCTGGAAGGAAATGGAAACTTATCATAGAAGGCTAAATAAACTCTTAGAGAAATTGTCGCAAACTAACTAAATCTTTAGAAGGTACTAATGTTTGAAAGGAGCTCTGGTAGTGCAGTGGTTACGAATCGGGCTGCGAACCTCAAGGTCAGCAGTTCGAAATTACCAGTGGTTCCCCGGGGGAAAGAGGAGGCTTTCTGCTCCCGTAAAGATTTATAGCCTCGGAAACCCTGTACAGGGTTGGTATGAGTTGGAACCAACTCCACGGCACATAACACAACAACAATTTTAAAGGTTCTTGAAAAATCTATAGGACGGATCTTTAGAAACAAGAAAAATATATTACTTGTTTATTTAATAGTAGAGAGAAAAATCAGAAGTCATTAGATCCTTTATTAATTTAAGATGCTTCCATAAAGCGAATAGGACATCATATTTAAACATAAGGGAAATCTGTTTTTCTGCATTGATCAAAAAAGGTTAATACATTTAAAAAGGGGAAAATGGGTTTCAAGTATATTTTGCCTTTGTCAACAGTTGCCTTTGTTAGCCTGTAACTCTACATGCCCATCAGATTTCTACATGAAATTTTCTTGTTATTATTAGTTCAGTTATTACTATTATTGAAAACTGTAATAATTGAATCATGTTAAAGGAAGAATATCTGAAAGTATCTTGAAAATATTTGATATAAGGTGATGCTTTTCTTGTTGTCTCAAGTCTTACATTGATTGAGATGTGTTTGCGATTTGATTCTTTATGTGACACGCCCTATTAGGTGGACTTGGATCATTGTTTTTGATGATCAGTTTTGAAGGAGAATCTGTTTTAGTCATCATGAGAGGAAATGGGGAGATACAGCCTTTTTAAAAAAATCCTTATTTTTATCATTCTGTTTTTAGTGCATGAACAAATATTTTGTACTAATAGAAAATGTGTTTCAGTGTTTAATGTGTCATTTTCTTCCTTTTGTCTTTTTTCTAAATTGTTTGAATTTTTTTTAATTAGCAACTCGAAGTAGAAGCCGTACCAATATGCTAATGGACCAGCATATGGATCATGAAGGATCATCTCAAGAAACCATCCAAGAAGTACAACCAGAAGAGGTCTTGGTCATTTCCTTAGGGACAGGTCCCCAGCTTACTCCAGGGATGATGTCAGAAAATGAGGTATGGATAAATTAATTGCTTTTGAATTGTAGCCATCAGTGTTGAGAAGTTTAGAATTTTTTTTATAATTAATGGTCACTAGCTTTTATAAATTACTGTTCTTTAATGCATAGTCTTCATTGTCTTTAAGGAGCAAGCTCTGTGTGAACTGCATTGGAAGCACTTCACATTAATACCCCTGTGGCACTGAAGCTAGTGAGTAGGTCCACACCAAAGGAATTTTCCCAGTAGTAGTAGAAGAGAGACAGTCAGAAAGTTGTGGTATGGAAATTGAATTTGTTGATCTGTAGGAAATGTTTTCTTTATAATGTTATACTAGTAATATTCCTGCGTTAGGAGGAACCAGAACTTCTTGAGAAATGCTTTTCTATTATTTGGCTGGTCAGGAGGAAATGAAAGAGATAACTTAAAGAAAATGAAGAAGTAAAATATTTTTAAGAAGTAGTAGAAGGGGCAAAGCCCTGGTGTGGTGCTGTTGGATAAAGATTATACTACTAACTAACTGCAAGGTCGGCGGTTCAAACCCACCAGCCAGCCACCCCTTGGAAACTCTATTCAGGGTTGCTATAGGTCAGTACAGATGCAACAACGCTTACCAATAACAGGAGTAGGGGCATAGGATTTAGTTTCAAGGAATTTTATAAACATAAGAGTTTGGGACAGAGGTAAAAGAAAATTTTTTGGTTATCTAAAAATAGAGGCCTCTTCCCATACATTATGATACTCCTGAAAAAGAAACAGCATTTTAAATTCAACAGTGATTCCTTATTATTCAACAAAACCCATTCCTGGCTTGGGAAGAAGAAGCCAGTTATAGTGGTTGATAAAGTGGTGGTGGTGGTTAGTATAACTGTGTATAGGACTGTGATATGTATGGCTAATAGGGAAGAGGATTCTCAAAGTGAATAATGATGGAATAGGGAACTTCAAAATTCCATCATGCCACACACAAAATAATTGAATGAGTTGGTAAAAACTATCAGAGTATACCTTTTCAAAACTCAGGAATATGATCTAAACAGCCTTCACATGTCTAGTTTAGTGACATTAAGTATGCTTATCATCTTGCTCAATCATTATGTTCTTAGATTCTTTCTTCATGCATAACAAGCTCAGTGTCCTTCAAACATTGTGTTTTCCTTTCCTCCTCCTTCCTGTCTATCCCTGGTAATCACTAATAAATAATGTTTGGTCTCTACATGAGAGGGCTTCAAAAGTTTGTGGAAAAGTGGAATTAAAAGATAAGGTAATGGGAAGTTCGTGCTGCTGTCCCGTGGATCTTTGTCTTGCTTCAACAGTGTTTGGATGGAACAGATCCGGGGACTCCCCCACTTCCAGCCTCGGACCACCTCTAAAAACTTCTTTGGGCATCTTCCTGAGCATTCCCTGTTACCGGGACCAGCTAAACACTGGTTTTTTTTTGTGTGTATGTGTGTGGTTAGCTCCAAATCTTCGACCAACCATGAGCTCTCAGATCTGTCAGAATTATTCCGCTGAAGCCGAGGCCGGCATCAACCATCTGGTAATCTGCATCTGTGGGCCTCTTACACCTACCTCTCTTTGGGCTTCTGATTCGATCACGATGATGTGACTTTGAAAGGTGTGGGACACTTCTTCTGTGAGTTGGTGAAGGAGAAGCATGAGGGTGCTGAACGTCTCTTGAAACTGCAAAACCAGCGTGGTATTCGCACACTCTTCCAGGACGTGCAGAAGCCCTCCCAAGATGAGTGGGGAAGAACCTTGGACACCATGGAAGCTTCCCTGGCCCTGGAGAAGAACCTGAACCAGTCTCTTCAGGATCTGCATGCCGTGGGTGCTACCCACACAGACCCCACCTCTGTGACTTTCTGGAGAATCATTTCCTCGACGAGGAGGTGAAAATTATCAAGAAGATGGGCGACCACTTGACCAATCTCCGTAGGCTGGTCGGTCCCCAGGCGGGGCTGGGCGAATACCTCTTCGAGAAGCTCATTCTCAAGCATGACTAAGAAGAGACTATGGAGCCCCGTAACCTGTGAAGGGCCTTCAGCATTCCCCTGCTCTCTGCAGACCTTCTGCCTAAACCTTGCTCTTCGGACACAGAGGCAGCATAGTCAACATCCTGGAGCCCCTCTTCTCCCAAGCCATGGACCAAATGAAAACAATAAAGCTTCCTTTTACAGCAAAAAAAAAAAAAAAAGATAAGGTAATGGGATTTTTCCTCCAACATTTTGAAGCTCTGATATCTTTTCCTATTCTAGATATTTTCTATAAGTTGGAGTCCTGGTGTGGCACTCACTGTAGGATAAAACATTAGACTGCTCACTGCAAGGTCAGCAGTCCAAACTCACCAGCCACTCCTCGGAATTGTAAACCAGTTTTGATATGAGTTGGAGCCCATTTGACAGCACTTAATAATGACTGGATCATATAGAACCTTAGTGTGGCTCTGTAAGATAGGCACTGGATTGGTAACTGGAAGGTTGGCAGTTCAGACCCACCAGCCACTCTTGCAAACCGTATACGGGATTGTTATGAATCTGAACTGACTTGATAACACAACAGCAAAAACAACTTATGTTGTTGGTGACTGACTGACTTCAAATACCTCTGGATAGACTCAAATCACCAACCTTTCTGTTAACAGCCAAGAGGATTCAGTATTTACATGGCCCAGGTACTCCCTAATAATACTAGGGTGATGGGAAAGATTAGATTCCGTTCTTTTAAATAACAGTCTTTTACTCCAAGGGTACTTAAAAAGCTTGATCAGAGGCTTGTAAGTTAGTTTTAGTTAAAACTTATAATTGAATATTAAGTTTAATATAAGTGCTTTGTTTTCATATTAGAATCTTTCAACTGATTAACTAAATAAACTAAAATTGTCATTTTGTTTTTTAGGTCCTAAACCTGCAACTTTCAGATGGAGGACAAGGAGATGTCCCTGCCGATGAAAACAAACTCCACGGTAAACCTGATAAAACCTTGCGCTTTTCCCTCTGCAGTGATAATCTGGAAGGAATATCTGAAGGTGAAGGGTTACTTCATTCAAGGAGTTGTGTGATCAAGTAATGTTTGTTTTATATTCTTTAAAGGAGCCTTATAAATTATATAAGTGTGCTATTTGTGCCTCTCACTGAGGAGAATAATGAAGATTTCCTCTAATGAGTCTGAACAGTATAATGTTAAGTTTGTTAATTTGACTAAAATTTAGACTGTAGAAGACTTTGGATATTATAAAATGGAGAAGTTATGAATCTTCATTGAGACTTAAATAGAATAAGTTTTTGTTTTGCTTCTCCAGAATTAATATACACCAAAGCTTATAGAGCTCCTTTAGAGGGATATAATGCATGTTTAAACAGAAAAAAAATAGATTCACAAGTATTTCAGAGTATCTTATACAGTGTTTTAATGTTTTGTGTTTCTTTAATTCATACATTCTCTCACATACCTTTATGAAGCAGAAGCAAACATTGGAAGTAGGAATCTGACAAAAAATTAAAAGCCAAGGTTTTAAAGTGAGAATATTTCATTCCATGTATTCGGACACATTTTTTTAAATGAAAAAAGTTTGTTCATTAACATTTAAGAAAACATTATAATGAAATAACTTGTCCTTTTATTTAACATTTAAAAATTCACATAAATATTTTTATTCTAAAAATTGTGGGAAGGAAACAATCATCTGTAATCTCATCATTCTGTTAATAACAGTTAACATTTTGGTGCATGTTTAACAAAATTTAGCTTTTAATTTTTTTTTTAATAGTATAGCATTATTTCCTTTGGTAATTTAGCATTCTTAAATAACTTCATTTTTGGAGACTTTTCTTTACTGTCACACAGAAATCATGATTTATTTGATAACCTTTCTATGAATAAACATATAGAAGTTTTTACTTTTCAGACATTGTAGGAAACCTTTTTACAGTGAACAACCTTAGATTAATTCCTGAATATTTCCTTAGGACAAATTCCTAAAAAGAGAATTGCTAGTTCCTAGGATCTGTGTATATGTGTATTTGTATGTACATATGCACCCACAAATACACACAAATATATTTTTTAAATGTTATTAGGTATTGTTGAATCAGTTCAGATTCATAGCAATCCTGTGTACAACAGAGTAAAACACTGCCCAGTCCTTTATTTTTTAGAGCAGTTTTAGGTATACAGAAAAATTGTGCAGTATGTAGAGTTCTCATATTCTTCTTTACCCCTATCCCACATACATAGTTTTCCCTTTAATTAATAACATCTGGCCTTAGTGTGGTACATTTGAAGCAATTGATTAATCAATATTGATACATTATTATTAACTAACGTCACTGTTGTACAGGTCCCATCTACACTCTGGACCACTGATCTTTTCACTGTCTCTATAAAGATCAGTAGCCACTGATCTTTTCACTGTCTCTATAATTTTGCCTTTTCCAAAATGTCTTGTAGTCTTAGACTGGTTTGTTTCACTTAGCGGTATGCAGACATCTATAATTTTAAGGTACAAATTTAGTATTAGAAGAACTTTAAGTCTTTAGTTTCTCTTCAAAGCATGAAGAATTGCATGACAGCTCATGATTGTTTTAAAAGGGTCACTCACAGAAAAAAACATTTCTTTAGGTCCTTCAAATCGCTCCAATTCAGTGTCCTCTCTAGACCTGGAAGGAGAGTCTGTATCAGAACTTGGAGCAGGACCTTCTGGGAGCAATGGAGTTGAAGCTCTACAGCTATTAGAGCATGAACAAGGTAAAATAAAGTTGTTCAAGTAGCAAAGAATTTATCTTGTTGCAAAATAAATCATATGCTTACATGTAAATTGGCTTTGTTCTGTAAGAGAATAAATTTGACTATATAAAGACTATTAAACTTGCTTTTATTCATAGTTCCTTCCATTTATAAATACGTGTATGGTTAGTAAGTGACTGGTTTAGGCTTAAATTATATATACTTAACAGCAACAATGAACAAGTTATAAATTCTATAATATTTTATATTTAAATTATAAGATTTAATATTTAAGGGATGCAAAGATAAATACTCAGGATTCAAAGACATCACAGTAGGATTCGGGGATGGTGCACAAATTATTAGATGTGTCATTGCTGTGAATTGAATTGTGCCCCCACAGAATATGTGCAATGTACATCCTAACCTTTATGCTTGTGATTATAACCTCATTTGGGAATGGGTTGTCTTCATTATGTTAATAAGGCAGGATTAGTACAGGGCATCTGTTGACTGAACCTCTTGAGGTATAAAAGAGATTAAACAAACAAGCTAGGAAGCAGAGATAGGGGAAGAGAGATGTCAGGCAACATGAAGCTTGCCTCTGAGCAGAAATTCACCTAAGAGACAAGGACCTTCCTCCAGAGCCAATATGTAGAGCCTTCACCTAGACCTAGCATCCTGTTTGGACTTGTAGCATCCTAAACTATGAAATAATAACCATCTGTCTGTTAAAGGCATTTACTTGTGGTATTTCTGTTATAGCAGCACTAGATAATGAACAGTCATAAAAGTGCTTTTGCAGTTTTGAGTGATACATGCTGTTTTAAAGTATAGAGAAAAGCTTATTGCATGAAATATTAGCCTCAATGACGGGCATTTGGCTGGCAGAATGGGGGAGAGGTCATTTTAGGGGAAGGAAAAGTATAAGGTAAGAAAACATAGTACCTATTTAGTAACTGGAGCTCTGGTAGCATAGTGGTTACGAATTGGGCTGCGAACCTCAGGGTCAGCAGTTCGAAACTACCAGCTGTTCTGCGGGAGAAAGATGAGGCATTCTGCTCCCATAAAGATTTACAGCCTCGGAAACCCTGTATAGGGTCGCTATGAGTCGGAATGGACTCCACGGCACATAACAACAACAACATTTAGTAACTATTGATTAGGGGAACCTCTGTTGTAGAGAGAAAAGTGTCTATTTTAGTAGCAACTCAGGAGCTTTCCAAAGTTTTTAGTTGAGGGGATGAGGGGTTAAGGTGATATGTAACCAGCGTTTTAGGAAGATTACTTTGAAAAAGTTCTTTGGATTTGTTTATCAAAATATCATTGGTGGCCTTCAAGAGAGTATGGAGGACAATAAGGTTTGTGGCAGTGATTCTTAGATTTTCTTGTTATTGGTTGCCATTAGGTTGGTTCTGACTCTTGGCAATCTCTTGAGTGCAGAGTACAACTGCACCATAGGCTTTTCAAGGGTGTGGCACTTTAAGCAGATTGCTAGGGGCCTGTCTTCCAAAGGCCAATTTGGTTGGGTTTGAACTGCCAATCTTTCATCTAGTAGACTTTTGTTGTTGTTGTTGTTAAGTGCCGTTGAGTCGGTTCCGACTCATAGCAACCTTGTATAGGGTTTCCAAGGAGCAACTGGTGACTGAACCACTGACCTTGTTGGTCCAGTGCTTTATCCCACAGTGCCATACCTAGAGTGCATAAAATTTACTTCGGGAGTTTATTTTTTTAATGTTGTTTCTTAATGTATTACATCTAGAAATTCTGATTCAGTCCATTTTTAGAGTGAAAAAGGAGTATTACCTTTGAGGTGTACATGTCTTGAATAAAAGTAATGCTTTACTAGATTGGTTTATCAATGTATCGCTTATAATTAAATTTGCTATAAATAACAGAGAAATCTAAAATAATACTGGCTTAAGACAAAAGTTAAAAAGCTGTATCACCTTTTTAACAAGCCATCTAGATGCTTTTAATGTCATTGATTGGCAGTATAAATTTTGAGAATTATTAGATTAAGAAATGAATTGAGGCAAAGAGACAACTCTAGAATATTGGGAGCTGGGTTTGCAAGTCAAGTGAAAATTATTTTTCTTTTAGTTTGGGTTTATCAGTTAATCATTGCCTCAATAATGCTACGTAACAAATTACCCTAACCATTTGTGGCTTAGGACAATAAACATTCATTGTTCCTCTCAAATCTATGGACCAGTTGGATGATCTTGATTTTGACTGGTTTCACTCATGTAGTTACCAGTGATTGGATAGGGAGATCTGCTAAACTGGGCATCAGTTGGTCTGTGGTGGCTGACTCTTCTAGGATGACCTTAGCTTGGTTTCTTGTGATCCTTTATTCTCCAGCAGGCTAACTTAGGTTTGTTCTCATGGGAGGACAAGAGTGAGAGAGAGCAGTTTACAAGGTCTCCTAAACTGAAATTGAAGTCTATCCTGGGTTACCTTTCAGTCAAATAATAGAATGCCTTAAAAATGATAAAAACAAGGCAAAACAACCCACTTGTGAGGAATATACACTTTAAAATAATTCAACTATATAAAACCAAACATACAGTATTTGTCCAAAAGTAAAGATGAGAAGACAAAGAGGAACAGGGAAGCTGAAGGGGGCTGAAAATGGGGAGTATGCTGACACAATGTGGGAATAGCAATCAATGTCATATAACAATTTGTATATAAATTGCAGAATGGGAAACAAATTTCTTTTATTAAACTTTCACCTGAAATACAATAAAATATTATTTTTAAAAAGTTTAAGTTCATACCATGTATAAAAATACAATCGATGTAGATTAAAAACCTAGAACTATAAAGAGAATCAATAAAAAATGACAAATTTAGGTGCCCTACTATATGGCAAAAATACACTGTCAAATATAACTAAAAAAACACGAATAGTAAAAAACAAAATAGATGACTGCACAATGCTGTCTGAAAGGATAATGTCCATATACCTACAGGAATGAACCAACAACCACTGAAGCCAGTGATAATGAAATTGAAGAATTCTACCAGCTTCTTTAGTCTGAAATTGACCAGACATGTAATCAAGATGTATTGATAATCACTGATAATTAGAATGCGAAGGTTGAAAACAAAGAGAAAGGATCAGTAGTTGAAACTGTGGCCTTGGTGACAGAATTGATACTGGAGATCACATGATAGAATTTTGCCAGACCAATGGTTTATTCAATGCAAATACCTTTTATAAACAACATAAAAAAGGTGACTATATACAAAATAAGGAGCTCTGGTAGTGTGGTTACGAATCCAGCTGAGAACCTCAGGGACAGCAGTTTGAAACTATCAGCTGTTCCGTGGGAGAAAGATAAGCCTTTCTGCTCTAGTAAAGATTTATAGCCTCGGAAACCCTGTACAGGATAGCTATGAGTCAGAACTGACTCCACGGCACATAACAACAATAACAGCAACAATACACAAATAGATGACTGGCCTCCTAAAAATTAATGCACTTAATGTGCATAAAAGATTGGACCAAAGAGTAAAAAGAGAGTCCACAGACTCGGAAAGATATTTTGTAATGTCATATCAGACAAGGAACTAATATCGAAATTTTTAGAAAACTACAACACCTTTACAAGAAAAAAGACAACTCAATTAAAAAATGGGCACAGAACATGAACAGACACTTCACTAAGGAAGACATTCAGGCAGCAAACAAAACACAAATGTTGACAATCTTTAGCCATTAGATATAAAAACAACAATGCGATATCAGAGCATACCAGCATTAATAGCAAAGTTAAAAAAGCAAAACAAAAACAGAAAACAACAAATGCTGCTGAGGATAAGGAGAGACTGGGACCCTCCTAACATTGCTGGTGTGACTGTAAAATGGTTCATGGTATGGCACTTCCTCAGAAAGTTGGTAATAGAAATGACCCTGAAGTCCCTCTACATGGTATATATCCACAAGAAATGAGTCAGGACATGAGTAGATATATGCATGCTGATGTTTATCATAGCACTATTTACAATAGCAAAAAGATGGAGGCAGTCTAAATGCCCATCAGTGGAAGAGTGGATAAACAAACTTTGGTACATTTACTCAATGAAATACTATGTAACATTGAAGAATAACTTATCAGTGAAACACTTCATAACATGGATGAACCTGGATGACATTATGTTGAGTGAAATTAGTCGATCATAAAAGGACACATATTGTATGGACAATGTTATAAAATTGTAAAAACTCAAGAAAAGGTTTTTATGCTAAAAGAAACATTCTTTGATGGTTTCAGGGGTGAGAGGGAAGAGAGTAATTCACAGGCTACAGGATAGACACATTTAAACTTAGGTGATTCGGAGGGCGATATACAAGAAGAGGGAGGCTGGGCAGAATAATGATGAAGACAAGTGAAGACACGGAAGTATGCAAGGGCTAAAGGGGATAGAGGTAAATAGTGTTATGTATAAAACTTTGGAACAACAGTGTTCTGTGTGTAGATACATGGACAGATACACAGGCTGAATGGGTATGGGCGTATACCCACAAATATTGAAAAAGGATATTTATTTGCACATGGGTATCTACCTTTGTTGTAAACACAACTATGAGTGTGGTAGAGCATGAGCAGGCAAAATAATGAAAACTTAAGATATTATCACACTTCCTAAGATGAGTTGCTGGGACCATAGTCTCAGGGGACACCATAGTCAATTGGCATAATAGAGTCCCCAAAGATAATGTTCTGCATCCTACTTTTGGTAAGTAGTATCTGGGATCTTGAAAGCTTATGAGCAACCAGCCTTCTAAGGTGCAGCTATTGGTCTCTCCATCTGCGGAAGAAAGAGTGATGAGAATTGAAGATGCTTGGAATCAGTCCCGTGCTCTAATAGAACATGTGAACATCAGTCTCCACGACTCACACTAGAAGAACTATATTGTGCAGGCTACCACTACCAACTGTTCTGAAATTAGAAGGCCCCAGATAGAGTGGGAGAAAACGTGGGACAAAATGCAAAATTATAACAGAAGG